CATGGGATCACTGGGGCCCAATCTCCCATCTAAGAAAGGTCCCTTGATTTTTCCATGGGCAAAGTGATGTTGCCTTGATTTCCAAGGGAGGAAACTGGCTTTTTTATTGTTTGTTTTGGAAAAGTTGTACTTCTCTGTTTAAAAATCAACACCTTTGGGGGTTTACTTTAGATGTAACAGCAGTTATCCCTGAAGTGACAGGAAGAGGCGTGAGGGAGCTCCTAGGAGCGGGCCACATCCGAGTTTTGGTCTGAGGGCTGGGAGAGACGGCCACATTGGGGGAGGGGGAGGGCCTGGAGAGGTGGGATAGAGGAGTGCTGTTCCGGGGTGCTGGTTGGTGTGCTCTGGGGACCTCTCTCAGGGTCTTGCCTGGGGTCACGTGCACGGAGAGGGTTGGGTCTTGGGAAGCCTTGACCACACCAGGACTCCATCTCTGGCCTTGAGGCCATGAGCTCACATGGTTTTGCCTATGGTGGCAGGCAGTGGGTGTCAAGGTGCTAGGCTCCCTGGTCAGTCTGGGCCCACACCCCTCCCCTTGAGTACAGTCGGGTCTGAGTCGGCTCCTCGGAGCCACCTTCTTCTGGAGTCTCTATGTGAGGGACGTCGGGGACTCGCCGCTCGGGCCCAGTGGCCAGCTCCTCGGGACCAGAGCCAGCTTGGTGGTGCGCACTCGTTAAGGCCTCATGCCCAAGCGGGACAGTGTCACACCATCTTTCCGCCTCGATCAGTGGGGTTGCTCTTGGTTTTGCTTTGACAGTGGATTTGTTGTGAATCGCAACATGAAATTCAGCCAGGGTGAGTCTGATGAGGAGGGTTTGGGATCAAGGTGCTGCCACTGCTCCTTTCATAGTGAGTCGCTCCAAAGGACCAGCACGCCCTGGCCTCATCTCTCCCAAGCGTGCACCATCTTAGGAAACAAACCGTAAAAGGGGCAGAGTAGACTCTGTGGGCTCTCTCTGGAATGTCCCCTGTTCTTCTCTGATCCTGCAGGTGTGCGGCTCCAGGACAGTCCGTCCCCACCCCCCGGAGCGGTCTTCTGTCATCCTTCCGTCTCTGTGCTCTGGGGATAGCCACGGCCCGGGGCATTGCTGGTGGTGTCCTTCGCCAAGCTCCCACATTTTGTGTTAGGGAGCAAGGATTTTCGCAGGCTCATGGAGCATTTTCTTCCTTCCTAGAGTCAAGGACACTAGAAACCATCTTCTTCTGTTCCCAGTTTTTACAGATGTTGACATCAGGACCCCAAGAAGAAACGTAGCCTGCCAGTGTCACTGAGGGAATTAATTCCCAAGCAGGTGTCCGGCGCCTGGGTCCTGCTCAGACCCCATTCTCTCCTCTGGTTCTCCATGGCCCTCACCTCCTATTGATTTCCATTTCCCAGCGGGTTCTGGTTGAACTGGTCTAAGTTCTGGCTTTTCTGCTTTGATTAATTGACTATGAATTTATGTCCCCTAAAAAAGAGATTAAGTTGCATCATTTCTTCTTAGCAGGCAGTGCTCAGAAACAACATAGCAATTGATAAAGACTTCGGGGTTAGTGCAGGGAAGACTGGGAAACAGGTACTGATTAAAGATAAGTGGGGAGCGGACCCCTCCTCCCACCCAGGCTCACAGAGGCTGGCCGGGTTCAGTCTGGGTTCCATCTGGGTCTAATCTGGGTTCCATCTGGGTCTGATCTGGGTTCCGTCTGCGTCTGATCTGGGTTCTGTCTGGGTCTGGTCTGGGTTCTGTCTGGGTCTGGTCTGGGTTCTCTCTGGATCTGGTCTGGGTTCTTTCTGGGTTCTGTTGTTCTGGTCTGGGTTCTGTGTGGGCCTGGTCTGGGTTCTGTGTGGGCCTGGTCTGTGTTCTGTCTGGGTCTGATCTGGGTTCTGTCTAGGTCTCATCTGAGTTCTGTCAGGGTCTGGTCTGGGTTCTTTCTGGGTCTGATCTGAGTTCCGTCTGGGTCTGGTCTGGGTTCTTTCTGGGTTCTGTTGTTCAGTTTGGGTTCTGTGTGGTCCTGGTCTGGGTTCTGTCTGGGTCTGATCTGGGTTCTGTCTAGGCCTGGTCTGGGTCTGGTCTGGATCTGATCTGAGTTCCATATGGGCCTGGTCTGGGTTCTGTCTGGATTCTCTCTGGGTCTGATCTGAGTTCTGTCTGGGTCTGGTCTGGGTTCTGTCTAAGTTCCAGTGTGCCTGTTCTGGTCTGCAGCTCTGGTCTGGTCTGGGTCCTGTCTAAGCTCTCGTCTGGGCTAGCATCTGGCTGTTTCGAATGTTGAAACTGGGCACCTCGCACGGGGCTGATAGGGCTTCAGTGGCCCTGGCTCTGGCAGTTTCTGTACTTGTTATCCTGGGTGCTCACGATCCCAGCCAGAAAAACAGTGCAAGACAGTGCACCCTGTGAACGAGAGCCCACAAGGACAGGGAGGCGGGCGCATGTCCAGGATGCCAGCAAGCGGACTGCACAGAACTCAGGCGCGGGAAAGTAGGGTGTGGAGGGGGGTGGGTTGGTCCCATCTTCCTTTTCTATTTCTGTAAGGGGAAGCAAGCACAAGGCTGTGCAGGAGAATGATTTCCTTACATAAATACAGAAGGGTGTGTGTGTGTGTGTGTGTGTGTGTGTGTGTGTGTGCGCGCGCGCGCGCGCACGTGGGCCTGTGCATGCACCCTGGATACTCAGGAAACCCGACTACGACAGGAAGGCTCTGACTGTGCTTCCTGGTCCCCTCAGCCCAGGACTCACTTTTAGACCTGCACAAGGTCACTGTCGCACTCGGGCTGTCCCATAGCAGGGCACACTAATGTCTACTGGACTTGGTTTCCAGAGCCACTTTGGAGATCCTTAAATCCCAAATGCATATCTTTTTTTAAAAAAAAAAAGAGAAGAAAAGAAAGAAAACCAGGTTTGTAATATTAGAGCAGCACAGCCCCAAACTGGGTCCTATGTCCATGGCTGGACCCATGAGGCCCCGTGGAGGGGACCCTGTGGCCCAGTCACGTGCCCTCTCTGTCTGGTGCATATTCTCACAATTCCAGTTTTGTGGCTCTCAACAGCAAGGCCAACCTGAGACCACCTGTCCTACCTTTCCCATGAGAGGGCCGAAGGCTCCCAGCCTCCCTGCCCTGTCCTGTTCCTGGCATCCTGGGGGTCATCGCAGCCTGTGTGGGCTTCCTCCAGCCAGGTTGGTGGTCTGAACCCCACCAGTGGACCCCAGCACTGGGGGTCAGCCCCAGGCACTGTCAAAGGTGAGAGCCCAGAGGCTGTGCCCAGCAGGATAGGTACGCCCTGCCCTCGATGGAGGGAGAGGCTTCTCAGAGCCCAAGGCATGAAGGGCCCTCATGGGTGTCATGACCACGGTCAGTGGATGGCTGCTGGTGAGCACCGTGACCGGGCGTCTTCAGGAAGCTCATAACTTTGAGAGGACACAGCCTAAGGGAGGTTTGCCGGGGAGCAGGCCCACTTCCACCCTGAATAGACGAGAGACACTCATTAGCATGTACCCAGCATGTAGTACTATCTTGGTGATATCATGTGGGTCCCCAGGGGGGTGCCGCAGCATTGTGTGGCTGGGGAGCTTGCTCCTGTGGAGGAAGGGTCTCTGTGGTCCCAGCTCTTCCATCTGTCTGTCCACCTGGTGACCCTCAGCAGAAGAGCTCAGCAGAAGAGCTGTTCTTGGGGCCCCAGGCCCTCCGGCCGTGCTCACTTGTTTAGGTCTCAAGTGCTGCGTGTTTGTTAGCACGGTCATCCACAGCCCTGTGGTACCAGCTGGTTCATCTGCAGTTCTGAGCTGCTCTCCGGCCCCAGCCCTTTCTTCCTGTGCTTTTCCCCCGCTGGGACGGCTCTCCTGGCCCTCCCTGGGGCGACAGCCACCCTCTCTATAAGGATTCACAGTGCCAGCGCAGCAAGCTCCCCGGCTGGTTCTGCAGCTCTCTCACTCCCCTAAACAAGGCCTTAGGGATTCCACATCCAAATTAAGGTGGCACCTGGTGACAGGTTGGCATTTTCCAGTGTCCTATCTATGAAAGAAAGGAAGACAGCAGGGAGCAAACTCCCCTGGGCCAGACTCTCACAAACACACAGGTTTGGGTGCCCAGTTGGTGACCGGGAGAAAGTCTAAAACAAGGGACTGGGCCAAGGACCCCATGGGTCCCTGTCTCTTCAGGTCACTTGAAACATGTGGGAGCCAAAATTGCATTCACGGGATTCTTGATTATGTAAGGGTGCATTCTGATCTGATACTGCACTGAGAAGTGCCCCTGGGTTGGGATGCATTATCTATGCACCCAGCTGCTTCTGTTTTATTATTTACAGCACAGTTAAACAGTCTGAGAAAACATTCATGTGGCTTTGCTTGGGATGTGTAGCTTCTCCCCTTTCATAAAGCTCTCAGATGGAGACTTGGCAGAAATTCCAAAGCAATTTGGTGTGGCTGCAAAATGACAAACTTTCTTAATTATTAATTGGGATGATTAATATATTGATTATTTAATTATATGTTGATTGTTTATAAATAAATCATATATACATAATGTATACTTATATAAATATATAAAGCATAAATAATTTGTAGATGCAATAAGTGAATTATTAATTAATACAGACACACATACCATATCAGTGTGGGAGCAAACTGGTAACAGGACAGCTCCGGGCTCGGTTCGCCCACATTGGCTGAGGACCTGGGCAGGTGACCTGGGCCCACTGGCCATCGCTTCCTCACTCTGAGACAGGAATGGTGGATTTCTCATACACTAGACAATGAGTGGGAAGGTGCTTTGCAAGCCTAAAGCGTTACGCACATGCTGGTAGTTATTATCATTATTATAACCCTTGAAATGCCACTGAAGACGTAGACCAGGGAATTAAAAAGACACTAAGTGCATGTTCTTCCCTGGAACGCAGCCTCTTCTACTCGGGGACGACAAAGGTTGCTTCAGCCTCCGACACGTGTGCTCCAACATTTGCATATTTACTGCATCGGAGAAAAAACAAAATGAAATGAACATGCATATGGTCCGCTTCTTGCAGGATACAAGACCCTTCTGAAAGGAATTTCTGGGAAGTTCAACAGTGGTGAGCTGGTGGCCATTATGGGTCCTTCTGGGGCAGGGAAATCCACGCTGATGAACATCCTGGCCGGATACAGGTGAGCATGCCTGCCTGGGGGGCAAAGTTCTCACCTGGGTGTCAGGCCAGCAATGGAAATAGTAGGGCTCCTTCCATCAGCCCCATCACCTGGAGCAGGCTGTGGTCTACCGTGGTAGCTTCTTAAAGCTCTGTACACACAGGCTCCAGTGGAGCACAGGGCGCGTTTCAGATCAGGAAGCTCTGGAATCTGTGAAGGAAACTGAGTCCAGGGGAGAGGATGACACTGAGAGGCTGCGCTAGCAAAGGGCCGTGTGCTGAGTGGGGAGCCATGCTCAGAGAGGGGTCCCTGGGCAGCGTGGCCACAGGGACAGGAAGAGGTAGGAAGGTCAAGGTCAAGGAGAGGGGTGGCCAGAGAACTCGGAGAGAACAGGAGTGAATGCAAGTCGAAGAGAAGGCATTTTCAGAAGAGAATGAGACTGTTTGGCTGGGGCTTGTGATGGTCAGAGTTGTCTAGAAGTTTGGGCTGGGCACGGTGGCTCACTCTTGTAATCCCAGCACTTTGGGAGGCTGAGGCAGGTGGATCACCTGCGGTCAGGAGTTTGAGACCAGCCTGGCCAACACGGTGAAACCCCATCTCTACTAAAAATACAGAAAACATTAGCTGGACGTGGTGGCAGTTGCCTGTAATCCCAGCGACTCGGAAGGCTGAGGCAGAAGAATGGCTTGAACCCAGGAGGCAGAGGCTGCAGTGAGCTGAGATTGTGGCACTGCACTCCAGCCTGGGCAACGAGTGAAACTCCATCTAAAATCAATCAAACAAACAGACAACAAAACAAAACAAAACAAAAAACAAGTTTGGGGACCGTTGTGCCCATTGTCATCCATTTGGGAATGATTAGAAAACTTGGATTAGAATCTTTAGAAGTGTTTTTAAAATGCTCTGTTAAAGTCAGTTATTTTCATGTCTGATGGGTTTTATTTACTAACTTTGGCAAATAATAATAATGTCATTTACTGAAAAATGGTAAATACCACTCTTATCCTTAGAGTTTCTGAATTCGACCTTAATGCCAGAAATTAGGGCTTGAAAAAAATCTCAGTTATGGCAATTCTCTACCTGTGAGAGCCACATCTAAAGGTTAAAGTTGAGTTCTCAGAGGGATGCAAGGCCAGAGGGGACTGGGTATCCTTGCAGGGCGGCTGTTTCTGAGCTCATCAATGCGCCCACAGGTCCTGGCAGCCTGATGGGTGCTTGGCATCCCGGAGCTGCAGAAGCAACTCAGGAGGGGGCCTTCGGGCCTGGGGATCCAGGGGAAGCCAGCTGACCCCCGCCTGTGCCTGGAGGAGTGAAGGGACATGGCCGCAGGCCCACAATCACAGTAACAAGCTGAGCGAAGTTGGAAACTAGGCGTGCTTTCATGAGTCTCCATAGAGTCTCCTCAGTTTGATTCTCCATCGCATCTAGGAGGTAGGGCTAGAAAAACTGGATCTTAGAGGCATAGAGCATAGACTACCTGTGTCACACACCAGCTCCTGGGCCGCACTGATACATCCGGAGGAATGGCAGGGGGCAGAGGCGCACGGTAGGTCTGCAGTGAGCAGATGAACCAGCCAGTGAATGACTGCCTGGTGAGGCCGTGCCTGCCTCACAGGAGCCCCTGGAGGCCTCTCAGCCTGCTTACCAGAGAGAATTCTCCCTGCTGGAGAAGGGCCATTCCCTCAGGCTGAGTGGGTCCCGGCCCCGGGCTCCAAGCCCCTCTCTGCTGGTGCTCCTTCCCAGGCCTGACGTCTGCAGAAGTCGGGCCTTCGGGCAGTGGGCGCAGCCTGAGCTACACACAGAATTCTTGAGAAGCCAATCTTACAAACCCCCACAAATCCAGGGGCTGTACATCCCCACCTTGTGGCTGCGCATAGGACTATGCCTGCGTGTCTTTGGTAGGTCGAGACAGAGCTACTGTCACCCCGAGGATAGGTACACCTTCCCACAGAGGCCTGTGCGCGCCTTCCTCTTCCCCCCAGGCACTTTCTCTGTGGAATTTCCTCCTCCCGATGGCCGCAGTGCTAGCAGGGTCCAGTCCCTTTCTGCCCCTCGGGGTCCCTGTGGCCCGCGGTTCAGCTGGGAAGATGCTGGGAGGTGAGCCCCGCTCTCTGGCTCCCCTCTCCTGGCCCAGGAGGCGCAGGAGCAGCAGGAGCTGGCTGATGGTTTCCTCTGTCCTTGGCTCTGCAGGGAAACGGGCATGAAGGGAGCGGTCCTCATCAACGGGCTGCCCCGGGACCTGCGCTGCTTCCGGAAGGTGTCCTGCTACATCATGCAGGACGACATGCTGCTGCCGCACCTCACCGTGCAGGAGGCCATGATGGTGAGCTCCTGTGCCGCCCCGCCTGCCCCTGCCACCCAGCTGCCCCCCAGCCCCCACATCACACAGTACTGGCCACGTGCCCAGCTGTGAGAGACCCGAGGGCTCTGCCAGGCAGCCTGCATGCAGTCAGCACCCTCCCTCTAGCAGAGTTCTAACTCCAGGCTTGCTGTTGGGACAGGCAGCTTCATCCCTAAACCCCCAAGACCTTGAGTTTAATGGGCCTTGTTTGGCAGAGTTGGGGGTCAAGTTTCTGAGAAGGTTAGTAACCCAGCTGACTTGGGTGGTCCGACCCAGGGCAGCCAGCATCCCATTTCCCCTGCAGGCCAATGCTTGGGATTCTCCTTCCCATCCGCCATCCTTGAGTCATTCTGTCTTTGGCCCAAGCACCCACTCACCTGGTGTCCTTAGTCAGGACCGCAAGGGTCTATTCCTCTGAGTCATCTGCTTGCCAGGTGGGAAAATGAAACCAGTGATGGCCGAGCATCTCCTGGGTCCCTGGCCCCAAGCACATAGCTCTACACACACCAGATAGGTCATCCCAAGAAAGTGGGTGAGAAATGGAGCTTCCCCCAGTTACGCAAGGATCCCAGGGTCACACGGCTGCTGATGACCACTTGTGGCCAGAGCTGTCTGCCTCTAAAGGCGCACCTGTAACTGGTGGCTTGACGTCCTCGCCCTGCACCTGCTTCACCCTCACAGCCTCTGTCCTCATCTGCAGGACCGCACGGGGCTGGTGTAAATACTGAAAGGGAAGATACAGGGAAGGTGGGGTGGAGTTCTGGCATACAGTTGGTGCCTAATCCATTCAACTTGGCGACTGTTTCTTTTCACTCCTAGTAAGCCTTCCCATGGTGTTGTCACTTATGCTCTCTGTGGATAAGCCCAGCGTTTGGGGAAGTTTAAAACTACCTTGCCCTCTTGGGGCCACAGAAGTGTCCGGGAGGTGTCCTATGCCGGGTTTCTGAAACAGCTGGTTGCGTTCCTTGGGCAGACCATGACCCAGCCAAGTGCCATGCCTCTGGGCTTCCAGGGCCTTTTTTTTTTTTTTAAGACAGAGTCTTATTCTGTCACCCAGGTTGGAATGCGGTGGAGCGATCTTGGCTCACTGCAACCTCTGCCTCCTAGGTTCAAGCAATTCTTCTGCCTCAGCCTCCCAAGTAGCTGGGACTACAGGCACCTGCCTTTGTGCCCCGCTGATTTTTGCCTTTTTAGTAGAGACGAGTTTCACTGTATTGACCAGGCTGGTCTTGAACTCCTGATCTTGTGATCTGCCTACCTCGACTTCCCAAGTGCTGAGATTACAGGTTTGAGCCACTGTGCCCAGTGGGGGCCATTTTTTGTCTGTTTTTTTTTTTTAAAGGCTCAATTCATGGTGACCAAGACTGCACAGACCTAAGTGTGGGCAGAGGTGGCCATGAGAATCCTCCCATCAAGAGGAGATTGAAAATCAGCATGCAGCTCTGGTTGCCAGTCATGCCTGGCTTTGTGGGAGGACTGTTTATTTTTCTGCTTCCTTTTTCTTTGCTGCAAAAAAAGAGTCCCCAGTCTTCATGTCCGTCCTGGCACCCTAGGGGACATCCTCAGTTTGGTCTGCTCTGTGCTTTGGTCAGTAGATGGGGGTTCGCCTTGGTTTTCTGCCTGGAGAGATCCTACCTGGCCTTACTGACTGGGGTTGGGCAAAGCTCCCTCCCCGTGGTAACTGAGAGTGGCAGCCGCCTAGCATGTCATGTGAAGGGCAATGCCAAGGGGTTCTTAGCTCAGCACAGAGAAGCACTTTACATTTGCAGACACGTGATCTGCTATCTAACCTTCTTTGTGGGGAAACAGAAAGAGAGGACCCTGCAGGGCTGCTCCCACTCGCGTTCCCTGGTCCTGCGTGTGCTGTAGGTAAGCGGACGCCGTTCCCTTGGGCCGAGCCTCCCTAGGCGCTGTGTGCCCCATGGAACCCTGACTGTTGATCTGGCCTCCAAATGGGCGTTCAGATGGGGCACAGCAGACCTCTGAGGAGTTGGCAAACATGCTGCAAAGTGGCTGTGAAGTTTTTCTTTACCCTGCTGTTCACCGTTCCGTGTGTGCCGTCAATGCAAGCTTCATGCACACCCTGTTGATTCCTGAATTGCTCCGGCCTCTTGGGTAGTGCGAGTTTGGCTTCTCAGTGAGTTCCTGAGTGAACCCCATGGCCATGTGCTCGAGACCCAATGGCTGCTTTTTCCGCAGATGTGGCTAGTGACCCCTGCTGTCTTCTCTGTCCTCTCCAACCTCGCCACCGAACCTGCTGTGAAATAATCTATTTTCAGAATCAAATTCAGTTCGATTTTGATTCTGAGAATTTCATGAGGCCTTTGAGGAACAGTCTGTGGCTATGGCATGGGCTATCACTCAAGGTCCTGTGCCACACGGAGGACATACTGGCCACCTGTTGGGGAGTTCCGATCCCACATCAGACACAGTTGTGCATTTTTATGCTCTTCAGCCTCGCAGCTGCCAGGCAGACTGAGAAATGATAGGCAGGTGTCACATGCAGGCAGCTGGCTCTGCCCAGGAGCGTGGGTCTGACTCTGTCCAACTCTGGGACCTAGGACCTCTTCCCGCCTGCACCCCACCCTCTCCTCTGGTCCTCACAGCAACTTCTCTAGCTAATGAGGTGGACAGAGCTTAACTTCACCATCATGCCGGTGAGGAGACGGAGGCTGCGTGTTTGCCCAAAGCCACAGAAGGCAGGAGGGTGGAAGCCAGGCCGATCCTGGGCATGGTGGTCTCAACTCTGGGTTTTCCCAGGCAGGGCCAGGAGCCAGTGCTGTGCTAGCAAACGGGACCTCGAAAAACACAGTGACAGAATGCGGCATCCTGGTGTGTCACCCTTGTAAATTCCTGTGGCATAAACACTCCCTGTGGATAAGTTCAAGCCTCAGCAGTTTAACATATGGTTTATGGAACTCCTAACTCATACCACTGGTTCTGCCCAGGCAGATCGCCAAGCCCCTACCTCTAAATTGCCCATATCTGACTTCTCTCCTGGGTACAGCAGAGAATTCCACTGAGATAGCTGGAAGCATCACACACGGACTGCTCTCCTGCCACCCTACCACTATTAAAGCAGGGGGCATAGGAAGCCAAGAACAACTCGGGTTTTCCATGGCGATCAGCGGGCTGCACTGTGGCTAGCTGCACTGTGGCCAGTGGCACCATGGCCAGTGGCACTGTGGCTAGCTGCACCATGGCTAGTGGCATCATGGCCAGCGGCACTGTGGCTAGTGGCATCATGGCTAGTGGGCTAGCGGCACTGTGTCCAGCTGTGCCATGGGTAGTGACATCATGGCTAGCAGCACTGTGGCTAGCTGCAACATGGCCAGTGGCACTGTGGCTAGCTGCGCCACAGTCTGCAGTGTGGGCCTGAAGCTCACCCTGCTGGTGGCCGTCTGTTCTGCTCCTACACTCCTGTCCTTGTCCCCCCACAGGTGTCGGCACATCTGAAGCTTCAGGAGAAGGATGAAGGCAGAAGGGAGATGGTAAGTGGGTTGTTTGGGGCCCTCAAGTGGTCCAGAAAGTACATGGGGTGCATGTGGAAAGCGTGCCTGCTGCGGTTTTGGGCACTGGTTTTTGTCTGTTGATTTGTTTTTGCCTTGCCTTCCGTGTGTGGGACAGGTGACATTTCAGGGAGTGCCCTGGCCTGCAGCAGCCAGAAGCCAGGAGAGATGGATCTGGCGCACACGTCATGGCTTTGATTCTCAGATGCAGGAGTCAGAATGTAACGTGAGGGGTGGCAGCCTTGGCCCTCATGGGGCCAGAAGATGCCAGCTTCAGGGTTAGACCATGAGCGCTGCACCTTTTAGTGTTTAATATGATCTGTATGCAATGTTTTATAAGATGGTAACAATGAAGATGGTTAGTCATTCATTTAAAAATAACCACCCTCCACCCACCTGCACTTGCAAGAAGAAATTTAGTTCTTACGTGTTATTAACCAGCCTTTTAAAAAAGAAAATAAAGACATTTCCAGGATGATTAAGACTTTCTAATCCCTGTAGCCATTTTTTTTTTTTTTGGCTTCGTAAATTCAGGGGCAGGGACAGGTGCAGGTGGACAGAGCCAGGGGGAGCAGCAGAAAGCCACACAGGAAGGAGCCCACCAGCCTGGGCTCACACACCCTCCCTGGAAAGCCCACTGTCCTCTCCACTCTGGCTAGTGCTGGTGGGATTTTCAGCATGAGATGGAATTTGAGGAACCTGCCCTTCTGTAAGATTATCTTTCTCTCCTAACACCCTTACATGACCATAGTCCAGCCACTGAGAGTGAGGTTTGCCGGGTTAGTGCCAATGGCTAGACTTGGCCCTTTGTGTTCGGGTTTAAAATGGAGTGATTGATGGGATAGAGTCAAACGTGCTGAGAAACATCCACAGCAATTCTATTTTCATCATTTCCCCCTCTGCTGTGGTGTGTAACAGCTAATATTAAGTAAACGTAAACCACTTTGCTATGGAGAAAAGAGTCAGACCACCTAATGCTCCTTCTCCCCACCTCTGCCCGGCAACTGTACCCTTCGAAATTCAGGATTCAGCCCATGTCATCGGGGTCGGGGGGTCAAATGCCCAGTGCAGGTAGAAATAGCCCAATGTCTGAGAGAAGTAAAATAATGCTTCGTTGCTATAGAAAATGTTTTGTGTGGAATTCTTGTATTCTGAGATTGAAAAGAAAACGGACTAACAGAACCCAAAAGAGACAAAATGTGGAAATCACAAATCACGTGTTTCTGGCCCTTCATGAGGACATAAGACCCAGCCTTGTGACTTTATTGTCTAGGTTGAAAGGCGAGAACCCTCTCTGGACAGGGTTTTCTAAACAACATAACGTAGACATCCCCCCTCCCCATACACACACACACACACACACACACACACACACACACACACAATCACCTCCCAAGCCCGATTGTGTTGATGATACCAAGTTATGGAAGATGAGTGCTATGGCCTGAGTCCCCCCAAAAGATGGTATGTTAAAGCCTATGCCCCAGAAACCCAGAATTGGCTGTATTTGAAGATAGGGCCTTTATAGAGGTAATAAAGTTAAAATGGAGTCATAAGGGTGGGCCCCAGTCCAGTCTGACTGTGTCCCTGTAAGAAGAGCAGAAGAGAACCCAGACACACCCCGAAGGATGATCCCATGAGGACACAGGAGGAGGCGGCATCTGCCAGCCCAGGAGAGGGGCCTCAGGAACCAGCCCTGCTGCCCTCCATCCCAGACTTTGGCCTCCAGAATTGAGACAGGAATTTCTGTTGTGGAAGTGCCTGGTGTGGGGCCCTAAATAACGGCCTTCGTTCTCCATACCAAAGGCCTGCAGAAGAACACACGGAAAGCCAGCTGTCAGAGCTGAGTCTCGGTGAGGTCTCCCGTGGGAGATGCACACAAATCAACAGAACGGGGGCCCCGGGCTTGAGCCAGCGTGACCTCCACTCTCCCTGTCTGAGGTCAGCTTTGCCACCTCCCACCCCTGGGTCCTCCTTGCCATCAGCTGCAGGACAAGAGGAGAGGCTGGCAAGAGTGTGCAGGGCCCCCACGAAGCAGAGGCTTTTCCACCCGGAGACTCAAGAAGCTGCTCCTTCTGAAGCCCAGAGGACCACAGTGCCCCTGACCCAACCTCTCAGGGCCCTCCTTCCCATCCCCCAACCTCCCTGCTTTCAAGGGGTGTCGGAAGCACAGTCCAATCTCTTTGCCCTCCTTCAAGGTCCCGCAGACCCCTCCAGATGCTGGCCTGCAAGCTGAGGGGCAGCTGTGGGGGCTCCAAGAAGAGACGGTGGAATCGGCCACTGATGGTTGCTGTGGAGGAGGGGCCAAGAGCTCTGGAGCATGAGGTGCTAGAGAGAGGGAATTCTGTCCCTCTGATCCAAACCAAAGACCTGAGGACGGCAGATGGGGGAGAGGGTCTCGGGGATCACTAGATTCGGGGTGAGCAGGCATGGGAGGCAGAGGGCGGAGAGCCCTGCTACACGGAGAGGTGCTGGAGTGAAGTGGAGCTGAGCACACAGGGGACCCGTCCTGGAACCCACTGATGGCCTTGGGCTACTGCCTGCCATGCACGAGCCAAGCTTTGCCTATAAGGTGGGGACAGGAAGCCAGGCCTCACTTGCCTTTCGGGGCAGTGCCAACCTGAACTGGATGGCTTCTTTAAGGTCTCTGAGCTCGATGGAGCCCATGTGATCCCTGTGGGAGGGGCTGTGAGATCGCTTCCCTGCAGCTCAAGGTGACAGCCACCAGCCTTTTCTGGCATAGCTTGGGGAAGACTCTCCCTGAGGGCTGGGTGTACAGTGAGGGCTCCTCAGCAGGCTCTGTGCCGAGGCCACAGCAAGCCAGGTCCTTCGCCTGCCGGAGAGAGAAGACCCAGAACAAGCTGGCATCTCGGCAGAGAATGGAAGCGCCTCCCGGGAGCAGCTACATGGGGCCCGAGGGCAGACAGCGCCCATGGGTGTGTGTCCTCCTGGCGCCTGGGCCCTGCCTAAGACGGCCCAGAAGACAGCCTCCAGCTGCTTTCAGCTGGGTTTATAAGGGCACAAATATCGGCTCATGTGGCTAAATCACCCCTGAGGAGTGAGCCCCTGGCACCATCCTGATTCCTCTGAGGCTGACTTGAACAGTGCAGAGAGCCCTCCACACGGACAGAGAGGCCACACTGTGCCCACCACATGCCCTCAGCAGCAGACGCAGCTGGACCCGCACTCCCGTTCCTCAGCCATGGTGCAGGCGCGCGCCTCCCCGACGGGCCCACCTTTAGGAGGACATGGCAGCCACGTCACGGCTTCACTCACTTCCTTCTAAGCCCCGAGGTGCACCTGGGTCCAAGTTCTCTCTCTGTCTCACGGAAACATAATGGGATGGACCATTCTAGCAGATGGTGGAAGAAGTTGTGCACGGCCTTTCTTGATTCCCAGCAAAGCAGCCTCAGTTCCCCAGAGCCCTCCAGCAAGCCACTCCCCGGGAGCGAGACCCCCAGAGGCACCCGCTGGGAAGCCCCAGGGAGCTGGAGCTACACCGGGCTTGCAAATTTCTTGTTTGTTTAGGGAAAATGTATAAACAACTGAGATCACTGTTTGTTCTGACTAGTCTTTAAAATAGACCCACCTGGGTGGTGTCCCTCCTGAGAGGACTCTGGGGAAAGTGGGGTGGGCCGAGCTCGTGGGCAAGGGTGCGGAGGGAAAGGCACCCACAGCGGCCTCCGCTTCCAGCATCCTGTCTGTGAGGGTGGAGGGAAAGAAGAAGATGTGGCGCACAGTGTGGGGCCCCCACGGTGAGCCTGGAAGCCCCAGCTTTGGCCAGTGGTTCCAGAAGACCCAGAGGCCTCATCCTGGGATGCCAGCAGAAGAGGGCTCTGCCCACCTTGCACAACCCCCACCTGCTGGCCTTTCCAGACAGCCTCCTGGAAGCTGTTTCTGGTTTGGTGGCCCTCAGAGCCAGGTGTCCAGTGGAGGCACCGGAGCTGGGGCAAGGGCAGTTAGCAAGGAGCTCAGGACAGGGCTGGAGCCCAGGTCAGCTGACCGTGCACTGCCACCTGCCCCAGCCTGTCCAGCAGCCATGCCCCGGTTCTTTCCTGTCACCAAAGCTGCACTTTGTACTGACCACTGCATAAATAATTCAAAAGCCCAGAGTGGAAGTTTTCTTCCTCGTGTGTTCCTCCTCCCTTCGGATGACTTCATCTCCCTCGAGGAGCCGCTGGACTAGGGTCCGCTGGCCATGGCCGAGAGGGCTGCCCCAGCGGGTGGGGACGATAGCTGGGTGAATGCTGGAGGGAGGCCCAGGCCGGCTGCCCCCAGGGCGGGGAGGCAAAGATGGCAGTGGCTGACCCAGGCCTGCTTCTGAGAAGACGCTGGGGCTAGAAGCAGCACCAAGCCGACACAGAAATCTGCTGACCTCTGTGTTCCCGGAGTCCAATACAGGCTCAATAATCCAGGGCACACAGGGAGGGCTACGTGCACAGTGCCCTGCTTGGATCTTGGCGTGCAGCCTGCTTCCTGGAGCCCGGGCCGAGGTGTGGCTGCTGTGGGTCATAACTGCTTTGAGGGGCAGTGCAGATCTGTTTCATCACCTTCCTGGCACCTTGGAGACCTTGCTTTCAAGTCAAACCTATTTACAAGAACGAAAGTGACACTGTCCCCCTTCCTGAGAGCCCTGGCGCTTGTGACTGTGTCCCTGCCCTTAACGCCCACCTCAGCAATGACAAGAGCTCTGGGAAGAGCCTTCAAGGGTTCCACGCTGCTCTGCGCTCTCTGCATTCACTCTTTCAAGTAACGATCACAGTGACCCTCCCCTTCGATCTGGGCAGAAACCACCAGAAATCGTGCATCCTCTCATGTGCCCATTCATCCATCAGTTCATCAACTGTTTACTGAATACCTTCTTTGAACGGGGCACTGGGCTAGGCTTAGCAGCGAGGAATGTGCCCTGAGCACCTGCCAGAGGCCATATGGCTGATGAGGATGCAGGCCCTCAGGTCTGACCCCAGCACTGCTGCACAGCCTCTGGGCAGCCTCTGTCCCTCAGCAGGACTGCTGACGTGGAAATGGCACCTGCCCCACTTGGCACCAGGCAGCCTGGGGAGGACTCGACTTGGGCAGCCTCCATGTGGACCAGGCACAGTGTGTCCAGCAGGCTGAGGGTGGCCGGCAGGTCTCCTGCGTGGGCCGTGGGAGGTGGTGAGCTTTGGCTGGCAGCTCGAATAATCCAACGTCTCTGGTTCTGCCACCCCAGGTCAAGGAGATACTGACAGCCCTGGGCCTGCTGTCTTGCGCCGACACGCGAACGGGGAGCCTGTCAGGTGGCCAGCGAAAGCGCCTGGCCATCGCGCTGGAGCTGGTGAACAACCCTCCAGTCATGTTCTTCGATGAGCCCACCAGGTAAGTCAGGACTGTCTGGGCTGGTGTCCAGGAGCAGGAAGAAGCCCCTTTATTCAGGTGACCCTGACATCCTCATGCAGCCTCAGAGGGGTGAGGTGAGCTCTGCTCGCTCAGTGGCTCCTCCTTCCATCTGGGACTGCTGGGCAGAGGGGCTGACTTATACCTCCTCCCGCCTCTATTCAGAGACGTCCCTGTGCTCAGGCCGGCAAGGCATGTGTTGAGCCTGGAGATATGGTTTGGGGGGAAACCATATCCCTTTCATGATGCTTGTCTCTTCCATGATGCCAAGTTCCCCATGGCTCAGTCACTCCGAAGGCCAGGGTCATGGGACACCCTGGGAAAAGGTCCGTCTTCAGGTGTGTTCTGGAAACGCCTCGCACTTTAGCGCATCAGAGGCTCAGAGATGCCCACAGGACAGAGCCCTCCCTCGGGTGCTCACCAGCCCTCTATAGCTACAGGCGCTCTGATCCCTTTCCTGGGTGATGCCCTTTACGTCTGGGGCTCCCCTGGGGAGTCGCTGCTCTGGAGTCCTGGCTCTGGAGCTCTCGGCCACAGGCCAAGCTCACCTGACTCCTGCTCGGGTCCTGCTCAGTTGTCGCAGACAGGATGGGCTTCTGGGAACCAGGCTGCTCCTGAAATGACTTCGGCCAGACTTTATGAGGTCTCACTTCTGCCACACACTCGCCTCTCCAAAGTCTGGCTAGATGAGACAGCAATGTGACAGCGGCCTTCTGCAGGGAGGGGCTCGTGTGTTTGTTTCTCTTGGGCCTGCACAGCACCAGTCTATAAGATAGTTCAGGAAAAGAGAGACCACTATGAACCCTTAAGTAGCATCCTGCAGTCCGAATGCGTGGGCGCCGGGGGACTTCCCAGCACATACTTGTCCCCCAGACCTGTCACTTCAGAGTTGAGAGGATGGAACAGGAATAGGTCTGAGGAGCCAGGAAGGGAGAAGAGACAAGAGAGGTCCCCAGGACCCTGCTGGACAGTGAAACACCTGTCAGAGTAAAGCCCACCAGGGCTGCACCAAGGGCCCCTTCTAGGGGGTGACACCCCATCACCAGCCCCCTAGATGCAAGATGAGGAGTAGGGGTGGTGACTGCAGAGCAGTAGACCACCCGAGGCCCAGCTGCCTGCCTGGACAGTGGGGAAGTCCCCTCCTGCCCACTTGAGTGGGGACCCCCCACCTCTGTCCTGGACTCTGGCAGCAAGGCTCACTGGGGCTCCTCCGTTCTTGCCAGGAATAAAATGCAGCCTGAAAAGCCCCACTGTGTGCTCCCCACTGAGCAGCCAAACAAACAGGAAAAGCAGAGTCCAGCCTGGGAGAGGGCAGCTGCAGCTGCGGGCCCCTGATGCCAAGCCCTCTGGGATAGGGACTCCCTGGGCCCCTGGGACCTGGCCAGTGGCTTGTTCCTGCCGCCCACAGGCGTCTCACAGTGCCCCCTTGACTTGCAGTGGCCTGGACAGCGCTTCCTGCTTCCAGGTGGTCTCACTGATGAAAGGGCTGGCTCAGGGGGGGCGCTCCATCATCTGCACCATCCACCAGCCCAGCGCCAAGCTCTTCGAGCTGTTTGACCAGGTACGTGGGCCCCGGGCCTCCCCGCGAGATCACCGCTGCACTCAGGTCGGCCTGGTGACAGCGAACCCTGGGCATCGATGGCCTTCTGTTGCCTCATGGGGTGTCTTCATTTTTGAGAGTGTTTAGGTGCTAGGTTTTGTGAGACTTCTGGACCCACAGGCAGCGAAGGGGGCTGGGGAGCTGAAGTGGCTGAGCAGAGTCCTCTCCTGGCCCCGGTGGGGGGTCGTGGGACCCTGGGTGTCACCTGCATCTTAGGACTTCATCACCTCCCCTGTTAGAATGGGGGTGGTGATGTTTGTTTTCCAGAATGAATAACAGGTTACAGCATTTGCACCATATCCTGTGGTTTATAAATCTTAGGGTTTGGCCAGGCACGGTGGCTCTCCCCTGTAATCCCAGCACTTTGGGAGGTTGAGGTGGGCAGATCACGTGAGCTCAGGAGTTGAAGAACAGCCTGAGAAACATGGCGAAACCCTGTCTCTATAAAAGAAAAAAAAAATAGCAAAAATTATCCAGGTGTGGACACTCTTCTAGTCCCAGCTCTTGGGAGGCTGAGGTGGGAGGACCACCTGAGCCCGGGAGGTGGAAGTTGCACTGAGCCAAGATCGCGCCACTACACCCCAGCCTGGGCAACAGAGCAAGACCCTGTATCCAAAAAAAAAAAAAAAAAAATCAGATTTTGATATTAGTCTGAGCAAAAGTAGTCACAGAGGGATAAAATGTGGTTAGCTCCAGAATTGTTTCTGAGCAGGTGGTTAGCATGAAAAATAAAACGCAAGCAATATAGTAAAATCATTCCTGGCCATGCGATATTCTGTCTTCCAGGACTTATCATGGCTTTCCCTTCAAATGTTAATATGGCCCTTGGGGGTAATATCAAGGGAAGAGGAAGCAGCTGGTTGTTGGGCTGACCGACTGGCTGATTGATTGATTGATTGAGAGCTCCTGCTGCTTTACGAGGAAGGCAGGGCTTGATCCCTTTCTTTCTTACTTTTTTCCAGCTTTACGTCCTGAGTCAAGGACAATGTGTGTACCGGGGAAAAGTCTCCAATCTTGTGCCATATTTGAGGGATTTGGGTCTGAACTGCCCAACCTACCACAACCCAGCAGATTTTGGTAAGCAGAGCCGGACGGGAAGGGGATTTTCCTCCTCTGTGGGTTTCACTTTTAGCCGAGGCTCCCAACTCGGAAATCACTTGAATATGCCACAAATGGCTCAAGTGTCATCCAGTGATAAAACGTTTAAAGAACAACAAAATAAATTTCCTTTCCTGTAGACACTAGGTAAAAGCATCTGGCCAGCCCGTCTCCGCCCCTCCCCTGTCTCTGTGTGCTGATTGCCCGAGGACAACAGTCTTTGGATTTAGGCCCTAAGTCCAGGATCATTTATCTCCAGATCCTAATTACCTCTGCAAAGACCCTTTATCAAATAAGGCTTCATGATGACAGTTCAGGTGGACTTCTCCCCTCCTTCGCCTTCCAGCCATCAGCCTTAATCTGTCATTTTTCTTTAAAATATTTGATTTATACAATTCCCAGAACTCTATTATTTTCTACATTATTTCCCAAACTGTGTTCCATGAGCCTGTTCACGGGAAGTGCCTCTCACTCACAAGGGGTAGGCTGTGATGGCGAGGAGAGAGGGCACGGGGTGCAGGGAGTGTGGTTTGAGGGGAGACGGGAGCCCGGGGAGGCTGTGGTTCTGGTTTCATGCTCACTCACAAGGGAGAGTAACAGATCAGTAACAGGTCAGTAATGGATGCTGCTGAGTGCAGCAGGGGATGTGAGGTCTGACGCCTGCACGAGGTGAGAACCTGGTGGGAAGGGTGGGCGGGAAGGAGAGGAAAGATATGGCGCATGGGGATGCGGAGAGGTCCCGGAGAGATGAGGATGGTCCCTTCTGGGGCTTCCATTTCCTCGGTATCATCTGACCAGAGAGTGGGTGGTGGAGGGAGGGAAGTGTGGCCCACTGTGGCGGGTGCGGGTGACCACAGGGGCCTGGAAGCATGGAAACGTTGCCTGGCAGTGCTGTGGGCTTGTTTGGAGCCCATGAGGATAGCTTTCCGGTGGAGCCAATGTGTCCTGGTTTGTGGCTTGATCTAGGAGGTGTGGTGGCCCCATACCAGCTGGGAGGAAGCAGGTAGCTGGTTCTGCCAGAGGGAAGTACAGAAAAGGCAAGGGCATTGGGAGCTTTGGGCCTTAGCAAGAATATTACTGGAGTGGGGGGTGACGCATCGCACAGGGAGGACACGGAGGCAGGAGAGGGCAGAGGGCTTGGGAGAAAACAGAGGCAGGCAGAGGGATGAGACCACTTGCCACGGGAATGTGGAAGGAGCCGTGGGCTGCAGAGGACGTCGAGGCGGGAGGAGCCCTTGGCGGAGCGAGTCAGCAGGCGGAGGGATGAGGTGAAGATTGGGATGCAGCAGGGACGGCAGGGGCGGGTGCAGAGCTGGGAGGCCAGTGCAGGAGATACTCACTGGGCTCTGAGAGGTGCAGGCCGAGGCTCCCAGGACCACCAAGTCCCCAGGGTGCCAGCCACACGTGTGGCAGTGGGCATGTCCTCTGTGGTCTTCTAGAACTGCTGCAGCTCTCATCACACCCTGCCAAACCACAGGCTCCTCCGGAAGGAGTCCTGCTTCCCTGCTCCCCTCCCCGGCTCCACCTCGGAGGCCAGCATAGAGCAGGCATTTAAGTCCCGGCTGGATGAGCCATCAGTAGATGCACCCACCGACAGCACGGTGTGTGTTTGTGTTTCCAGTCTCCTGACATGATAAACGGCCTGGCTGGGGGTTTGAGAGCCAAATGCTGGTTGATAAATGATTCTGACGTCATGCCGTCAGCACCGCCATGCAGCACCTATGTAATCACTTTAAAACATTCGCACTTGAAAAGTGACTTTCCATTTGCACGATTGGGGCGTCTTTCCTGGAGCCTGCGCTGACCCCACTTCTGTCTCCTACAGTTATGGAGGTTGCATCTGGCGAGTATGGTGATCAGAATGGTCGCCTGGTGAGAGCGGTTCGGGAGGGCATGTGTGATTCCGACCATAAGAGAGACCTTGGGGGTGATGCCGAGGTGAACCCTTTTCTTTGGCACCGGCCCTCTGAAGAGGTAAAGCAGACAAAACGATTAAAGGGGTTGAGAAAGGTAATGCAAATCCCGAAGCCCCCTGGGGAGGCTGCATGTGGCGCTGTACATCGCTGCGTGATAGCTCTTTCCGAGTGAGAAGGAGCCGTGGCTCCAGGCTGGCTTTCACCAGTCCCCTCTTGGTGTGTCCACAGGACTCCTCATCCACGGAAGGCTGCCACAGCTTCTCCGCCAGCTGCCTGACACAGTTCTGCATCCTCTTCAAGAGGACCTTCCTCAGCATCATGAGGGACTCGGTAAGTCTCGCATCTTCTCCCGTGGCTAGGGAGGCCATGGGTCATTTTCTCATAGACTCGTCCTGATGGCATGTGTTCATTTATTCCCACACTGCCATAAAGAAATCCCTGAGGCTGGGCACGGTGGCTTAAGCCTCTAATGCCGGCACTTTGGGAGGCCAAGTCGGGCGGATCGCCTGAGGTCAGGAGTTTGAGACCAGCCTGGCCAACATGGCAAAACCCATCTCTACTAAAAATACAATAATTAGTGGGTATGGGAGTGCACACCTGTAATCCCAGCTACTAGGAAGGCTGAGGCAGAAGAACTCCTTGAACCCAGGGGGTGGAGGTTGCAGTGAGCCTAGATCTCACCACTGCACTCCAACCTGGGCAACAGAGCAAAACTCCCGTTTCAAAGAAAGAAAGAAAGAAAGAGGCACTTCCTTCTTTGAGTCTGGGGAATTTATAAAGAAAAGAGGTTGAACTGGCTCATTGTTCTGCAGGCTGTATAGGAAGCATGGCTGAGGAGGCCTCAGGAATCTTTCAATCATGGTGGAAGGTGAAGGGGGGGGTAGGCAGATCTTAAATGGCAAAGCAGGAGGAAGGTGGATGGAGTACTATACATGTTTAAATATCCAGATCTCTTGGACCGGGCATGGTGGCTCAAGCCTGTAATCCCAGCACTTTGGGAGGCTGAGGTGGGTGGATCATGAGGTCAAGAGATTGAGACCATCTTAGTTAACATGGTGAAACCCCATCTCTACTAAAAAATACAAAAATTAGCTGGGCATGGTTGCGGGTGCCTATAGTCCCAGCTACTTGGGAGGCTGAGGCAGGAGAATTGCTTGAACCCAGGAGACGGAGGTTGTGGTGAGCTGAGATCACGCCATTACACTCCAGCCTGGGTAATAAGGGCAAAACTCTGCCTCAAAAAAAAAAAAAAATACAGATCTCACAATCACTCACTCACTGTCACAAGCACAGGACCGAGGGAGTTCATCTGCCCCCATGATCCAATCAGGTCTCAATTCCAACTCTGGGGATTACAATTTAACGTGAGATTTGGGTGGAGACACAGACCCAAACCATATCACTAAACTTTCAAATTACTTTTCTTCCATTTGCAATAGTCAGTGTTGACTGTACTGTTGTAGTAACAAACATTCCCAAAATGTCCATGTCTACCTCCATCAATATTGTGTCCTACTTATGTGAGGCGTGGCAACAGTGGACTGTGTTGTGTCTCTGTCCCATAAGCCTTCTCACCCGGGGACAGCTCCTATCTGGGCATGTCTTTCTGGAACAGGCCAAAGGAAAAGTGCAAGAGAGAAACCAAATGACAGCCCTTAAAACTTCCAGTTGGAGGTGGCAGATCGTCACTTGTACTCACATGCCATTGGCCTAAACAAGTCACATGGCCAAGCCTGAAACCAGGGCGCTGAGCAAGTCCATTTCTCCTTCAGGAAGGCACTGTGAATCATGAGGATTGGGGTGGGGAGGTGGGCAATTCCTTATAGGAAAGGAGGTGGTTAATCCGTGGGAATCATAAATGTCCGCCAGGGAAGTGGACTATCTGGCCACCTGCTTAGGAGGGGCTGAATGCCTGGCGTGGCTTCTGGGACCTAATTTGAAAGACAGAGGGGCTCACCGCAGCCCATACCAGAGCACTTGGAGCCTCTGATACAGACACTTTTCCCTCTCCATTGCTTTTACCTTTCCTCTCTTCTCGGGATAGACTTGTTCTCCATTCTGAATCTTTAACAAAGCATAGTAGTTACGTCTGTTTTAACACAACAAAAGCCCTTCATGTGTGCATATGTGTGTGATAATGCATGTATGAACGTGTGTGAGCGTGTGCATGTATGTGAGTTGTCCTAGGGTTTGGCTTGTTTTTCTGGAGAAGAGGGGAGGATGAAGCCTGAGACCCACTGTCCAGAGTTCAGGGTCGCACGCTTCCAAAGCCACAGCCGGGTTGTCCTCCGAGCCGAGGACAGCTGTGCATGCACCAGGTAAGACGCGGCTCTGCCCCCAGGTCCTGACGCACCTGCGCATCACCTCGCACATCGGGATCGGCCTCCTCATCGGCCTGCTGTACTTGGGGATCGGGAACGAAGCCAAGAAGGTCTTGAGTAACTCGGGCTTCCTCTTCTTCTCTATGCTGTTCCTCATGTTCGCGGCCCTCATGCCCACCGTCCTGACGTGTGAGTGACGGACTGCAGACTTCCTTATTTTCAATTCCTAGCCCAAGCATGGGGGCCTGAGGTCATGCCTTGACCAACAGATGAGTTTTCCTAAACACAATGTTTTCTTTTTTAAAAATACTATCTTCTGTGTTGGCAGATGCAAGTTGTATTGTATTTGCTGTTAGATAAGAAAATACAATATTTAAGCCAAAGGAATGAATCCCTAGTGGAAGAGTTTTAAGCATGGTCCACCAGGCTGATGGGAGGGAGATTTCTCAAAGGTTCGCTAATCAGGAGCCCCCCAACTCTACTGCTTAAGCGTTACCTAGTCCAGTTGATAAGACAGCTCTACACAGCCCACTTCGGGAGCAGATGAGCTCCCCTAGATGGATCTCCACACAACAGTTTGTTCACAAGGAGGCTGCCCTTGATCACTCTGGGCTGACAGCAAACACAGCTGCTGCTTCTCCAGGACTTCAGCATAAACAGCTCCTGCCTCGGTACCTCCTCCCCGAGCTGCCCCTGATTTCTAAGAGCAGCTTGCAGCCTTGCTCATGGGAAGGGACCACGCTGATGGAGTTTCAGAAGCGGCAGGCTCAGGAAGAGTAAGGCCAGGCGTGAATCCTGGCATTCATCACTAAGATGATGCTTCGTATTCACAGACCTACTCCCCACCCTGATTCTCCACTCGATGACTCTTCAGGTTAGACGCACGGGTGGCGAGTTTCCCAGGACAGTGAAACATGTGCCCTGTTTGTTCCGTCTCTTGGGGCCACAGGACAGAACTGAGTTAGGAGCCGCACGGCTCAAGATCGCCTGTTCGGATGTTGAACAGGCTCGCCGCGCGTGGCCGCTGACCCTTCTTTTTCGCTTTTCTACCTCCTAGTTCCTCTGGAGATGGGAGTCTTTCTTCGGGAACACCTGAACTACTGGTACAGCCTGAAGGCCTATTACCTAGCCAAGACCATGGCGGACGTGCCCTTCCAGGTGTGTTAGCCCGGGGAGCTGGAATTGGAAACAGGGCAGGAGTTCTCCTGCACGCTCTATATCGAGTAAGAGAGCCTGCCGAGGATGCAGGGTAGCGCGGGGAAGAGCCTGACTTCCGGGGCTCTGGCGGGAGCCGCGGGAGGACTGGCCGCCCAGGAGCTGCGCGGTTGGGTGGCCCGCGGCGGTGGGACGCGCGGAGCCGGCGGCTGACGGGTCCTTGCTTCCAGATCATGTTCCCGGTGGCCTACTGCAGCATCGTGTACTGGATGACGTCGCAGCCGTCCGACGCCGTGCGCTTCGTGCTGTTTGCCGCGCTGGGCACCATGACTTCCCTGGTGGCGCAGTCCCTGGGCCTGCTGATTGGAGCCGCCTCCACGTCCCTGCAGGTGCCAGCCCGGGGGACGCTGAGGGCCGGGCTTCCCTGCACCACCTTGGCCTGAGCTAGGGGGCCCTGTCACGCCTCCCCTACCTCTGCCCTGACCTCCTAGATGGGGACAGTCCCGTGGGAAGGGCCCACATTGTCGGGTGGTCAGGATCCGGGGGCTTCCGTGCTGCACACAGCAGGTGCCCTCACATGTGCCGATCGCCTGCCACGCGCTCTTCCCAGCGCCCCGCAAATCTGAGCTCCTGTAGCCCCAAGCACAGTGACGCTTAGGTGCTGTGCTGGCCCCGTTTTACACAGGCGGGCACTGAGTCCCAGAGATGCAAAGTGATCTGTTAGGGTCGCACTGGTGGCTCCAGGGCCAAGCTCTCAACAGCTGCATCGCTGCCTCTGCAGGGTCCCCTCGGCCTCTCCCCTGGCTCCTTCCTTCTCCCACTGCCCACCCTGTCCCCCAATCTGCCACCCACATGCACCTGCAGGTTCTCCACTTCTGTGGCTTCGGGGCGCCCTGGCTGAGCCTGTCCTTCCAGACAAAAGCAGCACTCCTGGGTGGATTGGGAACATCTGAGGCCCCCAACTGGGTGCAGTTTATTCCTGGTCACCTCCAGGCCACCATGAGCTGGATTCCTGGCCTCTAGGGCCCTGGTGCCCTGACCCTGGGTGAGGATAGCCATCTCACAAGGCTGCCATGGGACCAAAGATGACACTGCAGGAAGGTGCCAGGCCCACACCAGCCATGGCAACTCACGTCCGCCAAAGCCAGCCCCGGAGCACCTGCTTAGCCACTCCCAGGCCTCCTGCCCAGGGTGCTCAGGCTCCACGGGGTCACTGATCAGAGCAGGGTTTGGATGCCCCTGTCCTCACAGCTGCATACGGCACATGCACACACACACTCAACTACACACCACACACTGCAGACACACCACACTACACACTGCAGACACACCACCTACACACTACATACACACACTGCAGTACAGACACCACAGTACACGCACACCCTACACTACACACCACATACTACACATACATCACACCACACACTGCAGACACACCACCTACACACTACATACACACACACTACAGTACACACACACCACAATACACACACACCCTACACTACACACCACATACTACACATACATCACACCACACACTGCAGACACACCACCTACACACTACATACACACACTGCAGTACAGACACCACAGTACACGCACACCCTACGCTACACACCACATACTACACATACATCACACCACACACTGCAGACACACCACCTACACACTACATACACACACACTACAGTACACACACACCCTACACTACACACCACATACTACACACACATCACACCACACGGCAGACACACCACCTACACACTACATACACACACACTACAGTACACACACACACCCTACACTACACACCACACACTACACACATACCACACTACACACCACACGCTGCAGACACACCATACCACACACTGCAGACACACCACCTACACACAACATACACACACACCATACTGTATACACTACACACACAATGCACTACACACACACAAATGCTACATGCGCACACCACACAATACATACCACATACCATACCCCATATACTGCACATGCACACACACACTCAACTACACACCACACACTGCAGACACACCACACTACACACTGCAGACACACCACCTACACACTACATACACACACCGCAGTACACAGACACCACAGTACACGCACACCCTACACTACACACCACATACTACACACCACATACTACACATACATCACACCACACACTGCAGACACACCACCTACACACTACATACACACACACTACAGTACAGACACACCACAATACACACACACCCTACACTACACACCACATACTACACACACATCACACCACACGGCAGACACACCACCTACACACTACATACACACACACTACACACCACACACTACACACATACCACACTACACACCACACACTGCAGACACACCATACCACACACTGCAGACACACCACCTACACACTACATACACACACTGCAGTACACAGACACCACAGTACACGCACACCCTACGCTACACACCACATACTACACATACATCACACCACATACTGCAGACACACCACCTACACACTACATACACACACACTACAGTACACACACACACCCTACACTACACACCACACACTACACACATACCACAATACACACCACACACTGCAGACACACCATACCACACACTGCAGACACACCACCTACACACAACATACACACACACCATACTGTATACACTACACACACAATGCACTACACACACTCAAATGCTACATGCGCACACCACACAATACATACCACATACCATACTCCACACACTGCACACACACACTACACACAAACCATGCTACACATCGCACATTACACACCACACACACACTATAGACACTACACACTACATACACACACCACACACACTACACCACACACACAAATACTACTTAAACACAACACATAGTACAGACCACATACCACACTCCAGACACTGCACATGCACAAACACACACTACACACTACATGCTACGCACACACACCACTCACTGCACATGCATATACTACACACTACAAACATTGCATACTATACACACACTACATACACACCACACCACATACCACACATTACAGAAACCATACACACCACACAGCAGGTAGTGCACACACCACACACACCACACACACACACACACACACACACACACCCCATACACTCTGTCCCCCACACCCTCACAGCCCCTGGCTGGACCTGTGCTCACTCAACCCTGAGTCGCAGCTGTCGGTTCCACCTTTGGGCCGCTCTCCCGGTGGTGCTGAGAGGTAGGCGCCCATCCCACATGCAGAGGCTACAGTCCTTCCACTGGGCCCCGACTGCGGGGATGCCTGCCACACACCTGCCACGGGCCAGGCAGTCCTTAGCCCCCCACGGACAGCTGTGGAGGAGCAGCAGGGCAGCTGGGGGACCTCAGAGATGGTGACCTCACCCCTCAGGGACGCTGCACCCTCTGCCCCATAAAGTACCCTCATTACCATGCCCAGAAGGTCCCCTGGCCCTGCCTGGGGGAAGCTGGGGTGGGCGAGCCCCCGTCTGCAGGAGGCCAGCCTGTGGGTTCTGCTACAGCTGTCCTGTGTCCCCCACTCCAGGTGGCGACCTTCGTGGGCCCAGTGACGGCCATCCCGGTGCTCCTGTTCTCGGGGTTCTTCGTGAGCTTCGACACCATCCCCACATACCTGCAGTGGATGTCCTACATCTCCTATGTCAGGTAGTGGGCACAGGGCACGTGTGGCCGGGGGACCGAGGAGGATAGGGAAGAACCGTCTCCAATGGCGCGAGGAGCTCGCAAGAGCCCCTTTGGACATCTGGCCAAGTGTGAATCACACATCTGAGGATCCATGCCTTCCATCTTCCTCCTAGGTCCACCTGCCCCCACCCTCACCGACACACACACACAGACACACATACTAAACAAGGAGGCCACAGAAACCAGCACTTCACACACCGAGAGCCGTGGCAGGCCCTCGTGTTCCAGACTTTTCGAGAGCAGCCTTCAGTGGAAACACTTCCATCGTTTAGGACGTTCTTCCTCTCCGAAGTGAACAGTGCTCCTCACAAAGTGCTGATTGTAAAACCTTTATAGGAAATCTGGTGGGGGCTGGGCGCGGTGGCTCATGCCTGTAATCCCAGCACTTTGGGAGGCCGAGGTGGGCAGATCACTTGAGGTCAGGAGTTCAAGACCAGCCTGGCCAATATGGCAAAACCTTGTCTCCACTAAAAACACAAAACAATTAGCTGAGCATGGTGGCATGTGACTAATTCCAGCTACTCAAGAGGCTGAGGTGGGAGGATCCCTTGAACCCAGGAGGCAGAGGTTGCAGTGAGCTGAGATCGTGCCCCTGCACTCCAGCCTGGGCAACAGAGGTGACTCCAACTCAAAAAAAAAAAAAAAAAGTCATGTTTAAACATCCTAAACATCTTTGAATGAGAATGCCCAGTGCTTCGGGTCCTTGGCTACGGGGTTTCGTGCCCTCTGCAGAGCAGGGTGTTGGCACACTGTCCCCACCATGGGCAGCACCCATCTTCCGAGCTGCAGAAGTTCCACATGACACAAAGATCCAAAGTTGAGAACAAGCTCTTCTTTTCTAGAATGTCAGTTCAGACCCAGGTATATTGTTGAGGAAAACAGAATCAAAACAAAGCGCTTGTACAGAGTTTCAACAATCTGTGTGTGCTCCAACACCAGGAAATCAGAAACCGACCTCTTTCTTCTCCAAATTAGTGCTTTTGTTCTGACAGGGCAGGGCTGGAACAGAGGGAGAGAGAGGCAGGAATGTTTCATAGAAATGCTCTCAAGTCCTTGCAAGTTGGCCTGCCCAAGATTCCATCTAACCATTAGAAAGTGTGTCACCTCGGAAGTGGACGAAAGGTTTTTCAGTGCATTTCACCAGTGAATGAATGTCTCCTGCTCATTCTACTTGGTTTTTTGCTGGGGGCCCTGGAGTCAACAAAATTGGAAGAAAAACGTAGTGGAGCTGTTGGCGTGTGTTTATCTTAAGAAGGTGGTGGGAGGGGAGGAAGTATTCTGGGGAAGCCGGCTCTTTGGGAAGGAGGGAAAGGCGGGCTGGGAAGCGCAGGGAGCGTGAACAACTTTGACCTTCAGCCAGTGGAGTGGCTGGCTCGGGGAGCGTCCTCCCTCACGCCCGACCTTTCCTCCTAGGTATGGGTTTGAAGGGGTCATCCTCTCCATCTACGGCTTAGACCGAGAAGATCTGCACTGTGACATTGACGAGACATGCCACTTCCAGAAGTCGGAGGCCATCCTGAGGGAGCTGGACGTGGAAAACGCCAAGCTGTACTTGGACTTCATCGTGCTCGGGATCTTCTTCATCTCACTGCGCCTCATTGCCTATTTTGTGCTCAGGTACAAAATCCGGGCAGAGAGGTAAAACACCCGGATGCCAGTAAAGAGGAAGATTAGACACTGTGGCCGAGGGCCCGTCTAGAATCAAGGAGGCAAGCCTGTGCCCGAACAACGATGCAGAGACTCTTCTGATCCAACCCTAGAACCGCGTTGGGTTTGCGGGCGTTCAGCTGCTCCGCCCAGCTCGGCTGGGTCTTCTCTCCACTCCCCTTTCTAGCTTTAACTAGGAAGACGTAGGAAGGTTGGTGGTTTTTCTTTTACATACAGGATTTTAAATACCAGAACTGAGGCAAAATTTAAAACTGCAACACAGCTGGTGACGAGAGACTTGCTCGGTCAGTCCCGTTCCTCGTTAGCACCAGGCACCCTGGGTCCTGGGTGGGGAACCACAAGCACCCTCTCAGCTGATGGCTGTGCAGTCAGAGGCCTCGGGGCAGAGGGTCCAGGCATGGAGCGACTCCACGTTATGACTGTTGTTTTTCATAGTTTCATCTTTCTAAGGTGTGTCTCTTTTCCAATGAGAAGTCATTTTTGGAAGCCAAAAGTTCATAGAATACATTCACTTTAAGAAATTGTACCTTTTTAGTACTAGATGAAGGATGATTCAGGGTAAATTGCGTATTCTGGTTAGAGAGGAGAGGGGTTTAACTGAATCACTAGCTGGTCTCATACAGAGACAGCACTTGTGAAGGATTGAATGCAGGTTCCAGGCGGAGGGGAGATGTGGGCGCCATCTACACTGAGCCATGCAGAATTTTTTAAAAGCTATACAAAAAGTTGTAAGAAGACATTGGCCAACTCTTTCAAAGTCTTTTATTTTCCACATGCTTCTCATTTCAAGCAAAATATGTTGTTTGTTTCTCCCTAGCTTTCTGACTACCTTAATTTTGCCCTGGTTGATTTAAAAAAAAAAAAAAAAAAAAGTTTTCCTTTCCTCCTGTATCACATCAACTACCTCTGCTGAACCTGGAAGAACGGGGCTTAGGGAAGTTTCAGGTGCGACCTTTGAGGGTTGGCTCTGCAGGAGCAGCCAGCAGTGACTGATGGGCTAAGTGCACAGGACGGGAGGATGGCAACAGGATGGCATCGGAACGCAAGGGCTTAGGGCGAAGTCAGCAGACTTCAGCGTGCCGAGGCATTTGAAACCTGATCACACAACGCATTTAGAGTGGTGGGGGCATTTCATCTCTGGCTTTTGTGACCTCACAGCCACATCACCACCTCGGTGTTCAGCTTGTGTAAACTTTGCATATTGGAAACCCCTTCTTTCCTGTGACGGAGTTGCATGAGTAAAGTCCTGCTAGGGAAGGCACAGTGCCTATCTGGAGGTCAGGTGGCTTTGAATCCGTAACAAGGCTGCCTGTGCACTTGACCGCTCTCGGAGGCAGTTTGACCTCACGCAGAGACGGCGGTGCCAGCCAAAGACGTCCGTCTTTCAGAAAATGCCGTTGTTTCCTCCTTCCAGAATGTCACGATCAAATCAGGACTTCCAACTGAAAGACTGTGTTTTTGCGGGCAAATCAGTGAACCTCTCTGAGCCACGTTTTTCCTCATCTGTGAACAGTGGCACTACGTTGTACTCAAGGCCATTGCCAGCCCAAAGGTGGTGGGATTCCTCGGTCACGTCCCTGAAGCTCGTTTCTCACTTGAAAGAACGAAGAGGGTCTGAATTTTATTTACACATGGATTTAGTTTGTAAATTCTTACAGATTCCTTTTTTACTCCTAGATCTTTTTTAGTTAACACAATTGGGGTCGATATTAAAGTGTAATTTTAAGTGTGCTTGTTCTATACAAATATGGCATTGCCTTCCAGATTTAGTTTTTAACCAGAGTCCAACTTAGCCTTTATGAAAAGTCCTCATTTAATTTCAAAATATATCTTCTTGTAAGATGTTGTTCATAGGGAAGACCTACACAGGACCAGCCTGGTGAAATACAGAATTGGAAAAGGCCGAAAGTCCTTGCTCATGGCTCAGAACTACGTGGAGTGAGGTCAGTGTTGAAAGCGCCAGTTCCCTGCGGGCGAGCCTTTCCCATTGTGGATTTGTGTTGTGGGCTCATGGCCCTAGCAGGGGTGTGTCTGTCAGGGACTGTGCACGGCCCACAGCCCTGCTCCAGAAGCAGCTCGGTCTCGTTTGCTGAGGCCACTCGCTGTGCCTCATCAATTTCAGCAGGAAAGAGTGAGATGCTTCTAGAGTTAAAATCTGCTTTCCAAGAGCACCTGAGCCCTCTGACAGAATTACTTTCGTAGGAGTTCGATCGGGGTACTTCCAAGGGGAAGAGCTTGGGAACCATGAGTGCTGTTAGGCTGCAAGAAGGGAATGGATATGTGAGATCACGGGGGTTTATTTTTTGAAGGAATGGAGCTGCCTGGCTGGAGCTCGCGGAGCTCTGGGTAGTGCAGCACCTAACACCGAGCTCCTCCTACGCCTTGCTCACCTGGACTGGAGTAGGTAAGGATTCTGCAGTCATTGTCCCAGGACGCCTTTGCTTAGCCGTCTCCTGCAGACTGGAGGGAAACCACAGCCAGGAAAAGAGAGGGTGCGTCTGTCCCAGGCGCAGCTGGCATCCCTCTTCCAGGTTCAGCAGGGGTCCCTGGTTGGGCATTTTCCTCATAACCCATGGCAGCGTTGGCTCAAATGCTATTGTTTAGCTTTCCAGATATTTCCCCTCTGCTTTTTGTTTGGTAAAATGCCTTACTCCAGTGACCTAAGCTAACAGCAAGCTACTCACTGATTTACTCCCCTAGCTAGCAGGGGTTAAGGGGCACATGGTGATGTGCTGTCTTTCACACGCTGAAACTTAAACGCAGGCCAACTCCCCAAATCTAATTTGTTTCAGTAATTTCTGAATGCAGTGACTCAGATATTCTTTTCCTCTCTGGTTGTCTTCAGTTGGAAGGAAGGATTAAAGTTTGGACAAAGATCCGCAGCCCCCGCAGTGGTTAGTATAGGTGAACGTGGGTGTTTGAGTGAAACTGCTGGGGCCTTCCGCCTTTGTCCCCATCCGAAGTATTTTGTGCCTCTCTTTCTTCTCTGGCTGAACATCAACTGGAGATTGAATTCTCTGAAAGTCCCCACATGGGTGAAGTGGGCAGCTGTTCCCAGGAAGGGGAGTAACTGCAAAGTTTTACACAGTCGATGCTGGAATTGGATTATATCACCTGGGGGACGTGCCTGTAGGACCAGGAAATGGGACATGGAGATTCCAGGTGAAAACTCGTCGTAGAAACCCACAAACAGTCATTCTCCCAGCCTGACATCAGGGGCAGACCACACCCATGGGGCAGAAACCAGGCTTGGTTGTTTGAGCCAGAAGAGAAGGCACGAGGCCTGGTGCACCGAGCACCTTTCCTCATGGCTGGTTCCAGGTGCCGGGCTGGATGCCCTCGGAACCCCTCTGTCCCCTGCCCACTCCTCAAACCCTTACTGACCCACCCCTCTTGCCTGGTGCTGTCCCAGGCCCTGGAGGTTGGGGGGTGGGGACTCCAATGTGGGCTTGCCCTCCATTGTGATGGGAGGGAACCACGTGGCCACTTGGCTTAGACCTGCTCATGGTGCAGACTTGGAATGCTGAGGCGGGGAGAGGCTTCGTGATGTCCCCAGGGCCCCAGAGTCAGGAAGGAGCAGAGTGTGAATTACAGCCCGGTTGGACCCCAAAGTCACTGTTTTGTTACTGCCTCCTGTTCATGGCATATGAATGTACCTGAGATACTTTGTAAGGCATAAAGTGCAATACTAGCTTAGTGGTTGTTTGTTCAGTGATTCATTGTGTCTCCAAATAGGTGGCTGAGATGAGAGGGCAGCCCAAGCCTAATGCCCGTCAATGGCCTTGCATCGGAGTGCCCGAGACAGGCACCTCTCTGCGGAGAGGGGCTGTCCTCTGCCCTTGCCTGCTTCTAGCTTCCTAGTGTAATAGTCCTGTGGCCTAGCTTGGGCTTCAGCGGGGCGGGTGTGTGTGTGTGGTATGTATGCGTCTACCTACATGCAAGCATGTGTGCACACCTGCACACACATATATGCACATACACATATCCATGCAGGTTTGCAGACTTGGCTCCAGGCATGTGTCTGATAGTATTATTCTATCATGTTTCCTTCATAGAATACCAGCCTCTGAATCCTCAGTCAGCCCTTATTGCAAGAAGAAAAAGAAAAACCTCTCTCATTCCAGGTCTGTGCAGACGGGAAAAGTGTAGTCAGAACCCATTAAGACTTTGGTCAAATGCCAGCTGAATTAGAACGCAATGGAAGTTAGACAAACAACCCAGCTGGGCAGGCGGGGGAGGAGCAGAGTATATGAGTATAAAGTTAGAGACTTCTAAGGAATGAAGACTGCTAATAAAATATTTTGTATAAACTTTTTACCTGTGTTCAGTGTCAGATGCTTCAAGGGATTGGCTTGCATTTTTCTCAGTGCATGGATTTTTATGCTGTGTCTGGAGGACATTTGTTGACCCCCCAGGAAGAGCACAGATTTGTCACTTATGTTCTGGTCTAAGACCTGGCTGTAGATGAGCTCTTTCTCAATAACGTTCATGTTTTATGTTGAATTGTCTTAAAGTTTTGTGTTTCCTGTTCTCCCAGAATCCTCACCCATATCCTCCTGCCTTGTAATGTTGGCCATGACCTCGAAACGTGCCTGAAGGAGGCTCACGGCAGGGCCAGGGAGAGGACACTGGGCCACACCTTACCTTTGGTCCTCTCCACCCTTGCAGGGGCTCCCTCAACCTGGGCTCTGGGTTGGTAGCTCAGGCAAGGCAAGATCGCTTCTTCCTTTCTCTGCCTTGCTGGAAACCCATTTCCCAGGCTCAGCTCTGTAGAGGCAGTGGCTAGTGGGAAAAGCAGCCCCTCTTGAGGTTTTGGTCCCAAAGTTGAGGTGAGCAGGGCGCAGAAGGAGCTCGGTGTTAGATGCTGCATTAGCCCGTAGCTCCCCAAGCTCTGGCCAGGCAGTGACCCTCAAAGCGAGGACTTCCCGGGACAGCAATGGCTTAGGGCTGGGCTTTCAAATCCAGCTTCCCTCCCACCTCTGGGACGCTGAGCAGAGAGCCGGGCTGGGTGAGGTCACAGAATCGACACGCAGTGGCCCCTGCTCTCCTCCCATTGTAGGCAGGCACCACTGGTGGCTGCCCCAGCTGTGCACGTGAGCTCCTGACCCCCACTTTGCTTCTCCCTCTGTAACCCCTGCCTCTCTGGACTGCCTGACCATGCTGGGTCCAGCTAACATTAAAGTCATGGTCCTTCCAAGCCACTGTGCCTGGCCTGTCCCATCAGGGAGATTCTTCCAGGATAATCATCCCCTGCAAAGGCAGGGGTTTCTGATGTTCACACGAGGGGCTCACTTTTTTGAGAACATCCCTGGGACCAGAGCAGGGGAGAAATAGGAGACCCAGCACCCCATGGCAGCCTAATTTTCACTTAGAAGCTCAATTCAGGCTGTCCTTAAAATCTGTGCGCCCTGGGCAGGAAGGAAATGTGGTGACGAGCATGCACGCACGTCCTTCCCATCCTTCCGCTGTGCTGGCCTGAAGTGCCCAGTAACCATCCTGCATCCTGCCCGTTTCCATTTTCCATATTTGAGGAAACAGAAGGTTTAGCCTAGCCCAGTTTCTTATCTCTGAACAGGCCAACCTGGAATCACCCTCATACAGACATGTGTGGCTGCCCAGTGTGTCCGAGGCTCACTCAGAGACCCTGCTTTGCTGGGGTTGAGCGAACGGCACACGTGTCAGCAGAGGCTGAGGTTAGGACCCTGAGGCTTCCCTGTTCTCAGAAATACTCTCCCGGCATCAAAAGGAGAAAACAGTCACTGCCACTGGCTACCGCATTCCAGCCTGGCAAGGGGTTACTGTGTGTAGAGGTACCATTTGGGGCCTTTTCCACGTAGAATGGCCTTTGTAAAGCTGAAGAGAAAGGAACAGAGCACAAAAGCACCTTGATTTGTTGCAAACATAGGCGGGTGGTGCCGGCTGGATGAGTGCTCTGCATTTTGAGGGCATGCTGGACAGTGTGGGCAGAGGCAGCTCTGAGGGGCTCCTCTTCATCTGTGGGCTAAGCTTGCCCAAGTCACTCCCCTTTTCCAGAAAGCCACCCCCAGGGGCACCAGCCTTTCCCGGCCCAGTTGAGGACACAGCCACGGGCACATATGTGTTTGTTTCACTGGGGTTCATGGTTTGGGGCACAGTCTTCTAGCCCCGAGATCTCCAGAAAGGCGTGAGCCCAAGTCACACGCCTGCAAAGTAGCTCAACTCAACATTATTACACTGAACTGTTTTCTCTCAGTAGAGTGCCACCATCCTCTGGGTGTCTGCACTGAGCAAACAGACGAGAGAATCTGGCTGATCACTTTGGGCGCCTTTGGCCTAAACTTTGCACCTGACTTTCAGCGTGGCCCGGCCTGATAGGCACAAAGTAAGAAATGCTTTTCATTTTATGGTCCCTGAGTTACAAGACCAGATCTCTGGAAATGTGTCAGCCACGTGCTGTTACCTCTGGCCCACGTGGCTCATTACCATGAGGGCAGGTGAGCAGGGGCAGACGCCGAGGCCTGGCTGGTGTGCCTCCCTAGTGGCCTGTGTGGGGGACAGTCCTCTAGTCCCCAGACAAGTCTCCCTTAAAGGAGGTTTCTGTAGCCGAGAGCCGGCACTGGGAGTTGGCTCTTCACTGCTCCTTGCACCTGTCTATGAGCCTCTGGAAAACAGTTTGCCAAATGGGAGTGTGCGGCAGCCGGGGGACCGGCAGACGTGTCCGTTTCTGGGGAAGTCACCGAAACAATCTCCCCTCCTAGGGGGCCCTAGTGTGCCCCCTCCTGCTGGTTGAAGTCCGGCCTCGAAGGGGACGGTTAGGGAGTTACGCAGTACGTGGGTTTAGGGTCAGCAGCCCCAGGTCCATGGACTCCTGCTGAATCCTGAACGCGCCTAACCTGAACGGTACCACAATTTGGTTTGTCTAAAAATAGGATCATAACCATGGTAGCAACTTCATTTTTACACCTTTGCATTTTTACATATCTGTCTTTGTACATCTTGGGGGGTCTCTTTTCCATGACCTACCAGCTTCCCAAGCTTAATAGCCAATGTCTCACTATGAGGTCCTTGGCCAAATAAAAATAGTAGCAAAACATCCCATCATCCAAATTGCTAATAACACCGACCACCACACCCACACACTGGGGCTTTCCATCTTCACAGCCTGATCCTCTCTCCCGGACGGTGTGAATGGGGGTCAGTTTTTCAATCTAACATCTTTGTTTAATAAATTCCTATGTGTAGCTGACCCCTTTGCCTTTGTTTTTATAGATTTATATTTTTTCCTTTGTAGACATATTGAGGCAAAACCTGTTCCTAGTTGAATCTGTCTCGAATTGTTGCCTTTTATTTGATGAAGAACTGTCTAAAGGTTTTCCTTTGTTATTTCTTCTAAAGCAAAAGTCAATGCAAGTAACTCTAACAAGCGTGGAAACACGCATACATCTGTATATCTGCTATGTAATTATATAATACCTGTTTTTATAACGCTGTGTGGATAACTTTACACTAATTTAATTATCTGACTCTAGGAGGCGCTGTTGCTTTGCACGCTCTGAGCGGTTCATGCTGTTATCAGATGAATTCAGCATATTTACATATGTACATGTATATACATATATATATATATATTCAAAAATAATGTGGGCTCTTTGGAGTGCCTGTTTCCTTGGTGGTTTCACTCCACTGGAACGTTGAACCTGAACAGACCCTAGGATGTGAGCTTCCTGTCTCCACCTTACAGACCACAGAGCCCCATGTCTATTTCTGTAGACCTATCTCCTTAGATTTGTACATGCGTTTTTTGCAGACTTGAACTTTGTTTTCTGAAATTAGATGCCATTTATGATTATGTGACATCAATCAAATAAAGCATCATTATTTTCTGACTTCTGCTTCTCTTTCCCTTCTGCTTTCAACAGCCCCAGCTCTCAGACCTGCTGGGGGAGTCATGTCGGGTAGGGCGTCTGGATGGAGCAGTGTCATGGTGGACTCCAGGGAGGAAGAAAAATCAGAGTGACAGTAAGGACGCCTGCAGCTCCAGGCTCCATGGAACACGGCGTGTCGTCCCCACCTTTTCCTGTGCAATCTCATGTGACCGTCATCATCAGAGCTGGAGGGCCACAACTCACTCCATTTTTCAGGTTAAAAAAGATGAGGCTTAGAGAGATTACACAACTTGCCAAGGCCACATAGCTGGTGGGTGGCAGGGCTGGTCCATGGCAGGGCTGGTCGGTCACAGAGCTGGTCAATGGTGTCTCACGCAGAAGTGAGACCCTGGCCATCTAGCCAGGGAGCCAGGGCTCCTGGCCACTCCATGGCGCTCCCTTCCTCAGCAGGAGGCATTTAGGAATGGAGACCACTCAGGAGGAGAATTGCTTTGTGTAGGAAGTGGTATGGCAGGTCCGACCCTCATGACCGGTGGAAACTTCTCCCAGACACTTGGCTGAGGGGTGAGATGATGTGCCAACATCTCCAGGATTGGCCTTGAAGTCCTTACGCTGTCAGGGGCCCCTGTGAGTCAGTGCTGGGGCCTAAATCCAGGTGTCATCTGGGACCATCACCTGGGATATGGCCCTACTGGGCCCTACTTGGAGGCAAGGAGGAAGGTGTGCATGTGTGGGTAGGAATGGGACAGTGCAACTGGTGACCTGGCATGCAGACTCGGCCCTCCCCCGGGCACCGTGATCCAATGAAGACAACAGCCGCCTCTGTACTCAGGGTCTCCCACACTCCCCTCCCTCCTGCCCTGGTTCCCCATCCTTAGATGACATCTCATGCCCCAAACCCACCCACCAAGCACAATAGCCTCTCCCCGACCCACCCCATGAGGTCACTCAAGTTGACAACCAGAGAACAGTTTGTTGACCCATCCCCTCCACCGCTGGGAAAGGGCTGGGCACTGCCCACGATCCACGTGGCTCTCCTCTCCGGCTCAGAGTCGCTGCAGGCCCACAGACCAGAGATGCAGTACTCCCCACACCTGCTTATCAGCCGTGGGGCATCCTCTTTTGGAGTGCTCCAGAATCCATGCAGAGACCAGCACCCCACACCCAGAGCGATCTAGGATCCATACAGCACATGACAGCCCCTCGTCGGAGCCCTCCAGAATCCATGAAGCACGTAGCACCCCCTCGTCAGAACACTCTGATCCCTCCTATGCAGCGAGCAGCACCCTGCACCCAGAGCACTCTAGAACCCGTGCCACGCACTCCAGAATCTATGCAGCCGGGGTCCTCCAATGGACCCTGAGATCATTTCTGCAAAAGGCCATGCCTTCATAAATCTGAAAATTTGGAAAACATCCTTCTACTTATATCCTTACGACCCACCATTCAAGCTGTAGAAGCTTTTCTGGGAACCCAAGCAGAAGGATGTCCAAAATGTCAAAATGGTGGGGCCTGCAATCCCACGGAGCACCCCAACTCTTACAGTGCCCAGGCCGTCCCACTCAACACAGACATTCTGCCTCCAGCCCTCAGGCCTCTGGGTTATACCCGAAAGAGGTGACTCTTGGGGACAGCAGGTGCCATGAACCCTCCCATAGCTGCAGCCCCTTGATTGGACAAGGAGTCCACAGCGCTGTTGCCAAACTGGCTGCACCCCCGCATGAGGGAGCCCAGCTTCCCGACACCACCCTGTGGCTGCTGGGAAGACACCATCGAAGTAGGTGTCCCTCGTTAACCACCTCATCCTGCGGACAGATGGTGATGTCAGACGCGGGTAGCCTGTGGCCAGGCACTCTTCCTGAAGAATCAGCAGATGCCCCAGGCCCTGCCCCACTGTTTTATTGCCCTTCTCTGCCCTTTCCCCATGTGAGCCGATGTTGGTCTCTGCCTCCTGCTGCTCTGCAGATATTAATGAAGCCACAGCCAGGGGGACGGAGGGTCAAGCAGGGACCACAGCTGGGCAACCTATAAGCTCTGTGACCTTGGGAGCTCTGGGACCTCACTTTTCCCATTGTCCCCATCTGTAAAGAGCCAGGTTGGCACAGTTAAGAGCAGGCGTCAGGAGAAAATGGGATCTCGCCACACCCCAGGACTGAGACAATTCATCTGGTTGGCGAGGCCAGGGAGACAGTTGCAGGGGTTGGAGGAGCGGAGGAAGTCAGCTGCACCCTATAAAACCCAAGAGGGAAAGGCTGCAGCGCCCAGGCCAACAGGGGCGAAGACAGCTGCACAGAGCGAGCAGCCAATGGATCTTGTGCCTGAGTGTGGTCTGGGAACCCTTGAGCCCAGGAGCCATCTGGAAGGGGACAAGGCCACCTGGCGGCCACCTGGCAGGACCATGGCATCGAAGACCAGATGTGCCAGTCACACCGTGGTGCTCACATGCCCTTGGAAATCAGCTCGCAATTCTCAGGGCAGAAAGTCAGGCCTTGTCTAAATGGGCAACTCAACAGAAGCATCAGCACACGGACAGATGCGTGTGTAATGGAGATGGCAGTCCCATGCCGCAGAATTCACTTTTGAAAAGTGCGTATCTCACTGGGTGTCAGTGTTGTTTTTAGTGAAGTGTACGACGTGGTTGCCTTTAGCATCTAGTATTGCATAGAACTGTGCAGCCGGTACCCTATGTCACTCCAGAACATTTCCAGCACCCCAAAAGGAAACCCCTCAGCCATGAGCAGCCACTCCCCATCCCCAGCTCCCCCACAGCCACTGAAACACTTTCTGTCTGTGCGTTTCCCTAATGCCCACATTTCCTGTAAATGGAATCACACAACACGAGGCTTTTTGTGATTGGCTTCTTTCACTCAGCATAAAACACACTTCCGTTTTGAAAACAAAGTAAAACCTAAGGAAGAGAGGGAGTGTGAACTCTAAATGCGCTAGGAAACCCTGGTCACCGAAGCCGCACGGCTCTGGTCTCACAGGGAGTGAGTTTCTTCCGCCTGCACCTGCTCCCGCAGCCGTCAGCAGCCCTCTGATGCCGTCACTGCAATTGTCCCGTTTTGCTGATAGAAACCTTGAAGCCCCGGCGGTCTCCAACTCTTTCTAATGCATGATGGCGCCTCTCGAACTCCCAAGAATGAGGACTGAGGGGAGAACGTCCGGCCTCCACAGGCCCCTGCAGGGCCTCCGTGTACACACCTAGTGAACAGGGCGCTTCTTGGCTGCCTGGAGATGCACCTACCACTCGGCCGTCCCTCAGAGGTGACCTGCGACAGGGACCTAGGTCACCAACAGCCCCGGGTTCCCCCTCAGCGTCCACCAAGGCGTCCATGCCAGGTCAGCTTCTCCAGGGCTGCTCCCAACCAGGGCATTCCCACCAGACACAGGGTCCCTTGAGGGGTGCTCTGCTTTGGGGACTCCCCATCAGCTTGCTGGAGGCTCTTCCTCCCCAGTCCTTCTGCCACTCAATTCGGAGGCATCAGACTCACTGCAAGGCCTGCAACTTCTCAGCCTGTTCTTCCTCCCTAAGGGCTTCCCCGGTGTGTCTGCGACGTATGGAAAGCCCTCGTGGGCGTCTGAGCTTGAAGCAAAAATCCTTGCCATTGCAAATTTAGGAATCCTTGGAATTCCGTGATGAATACAAGTGAGTATCCAACGTATTGTGGAACAATACAGAGCTTTCCAGCTGATCCTGGAGGCACTGTGGAAAATGAGAAATGCTGCAGCCACACCTTTGGCCACCAACTCGAGAGGCAGGGAAGGCACACACATGCCTGGGAAAGCCATCGTGAGACTTAACGACCACAGTGTGGGAAGAAGCCTGGTGTTCCCCTCCCCTTTCCACCAGCAGCACACGCCAGCCCCAAGGAAGCCCAGCCACATTCTGGCTTCTTCTGGCAATCAGAGTGTTCATTCTGGAAGGTTCTGGAAACCTGAACCATTTCCAAGTCAGTGATGAAGGTAACTGACATAAAAATAGTTCCTGGGTCCTATGGGTCACAATTCATTATTTGAATTCACCGTGAGCCACTGATGGATGTCAGTTTCAGAAGTGCCCAGGTCAGGAGGTGGGAAACCCAGCGTGTGGTGTGGAGGCCACTTGGGCTCTGGACAGCTGTTGTCAACTGATGCCCAGTGCTGGAAATTAAATATGCATGAGGCCCTATGAAAACATGAGAAATAAAAGCAGAGTAATGATCAATACAATCCTACTCCGTGTGCCATGCTCCTCATGCCCACACCAGAGGACGGGAGGAAGGAGCCAGGGCTTGAATCCCCTCGGATGGGCCTCCGCGAATGCAGGCAGCCCCAGGCATTGACATGTTTGAAATGAACCACTCAGCTAAAACTGCAAACCAAGCAAAGACAGCCCTGCACTCCTGGAAAATTCAGATATGTTCAAGCCATTTGAAACAAAAAACAACCACCAAAACAACTGTGTTAAGATGTGACACGGAAGTGGTCTCTGGGCTTCAATCATCATGAATAGGTTTGTAGCCACCATGAGTGTCCAACAGGATGTTAGCACGTCCATTGGGTGGAGGCAGTGGTCTGTTCGGGACACCTGGGGTTGTCACAGAGCCCTGCCATGTCTGGCTCAATTCCCCCGTTCACATGATTCATAAATGCATCCACAGATTCTCAAACATCCCCGTGGCAGTGCAATGGCACGATCTCAGTTCGCTGCAACCTCCACCTCCCGGGTTCCAGCAATTCTCCTGCCTCAGCCTCCTGAGTAGCTGGGATTACATGCACCCACCACCATGCCCTAGTAGAGGCGGGGTTTCACCATGTTGGCTGGGCTGGTCTCGAACTCCTGACCTCACGTGATCTACCCTCCTCAGCCTCCTAAAGTCCTGGAATTACAGGCGTGAGGGTGTCTTAATTTGTATCTAGCGTTAGTACCAGGGCACAGCTGTGATGGGTTGCGAGCTGCTATGACTCCAGCAGCCAGCAGAGGGCGGTGACTGGTCACCTTGCGGGCTGGAGCC